CTTACCTGGCCTAAAACAGGAGATGGCGAGGAGCCTGTGGCCGTGGCTGGAGTAAAGGCCGATCTCTGCCGTAACTGGCCAGCACTTGGCACCGTGAGAGAGGGCTGGGCTGCCCACGCGTCCCAGTTATCACTCTCGGCTTTCTCGTTCGTGCTTGTGGGCCACCTGGAAGGAAAAGCAGGCCAGTGTTAGCAGCGGGGAGCAGCTGGCACACAGTGCTACACCTGCCATGAACGCAAACCCAGAGCACATGGGGGGCTTTCAGAAGAGCAAGAACCCAGGGGAGAGGCGAGAGCATTGACCCGCGCAGGTGTCTGTGCCTGCCCTCAGGCTGGTGAGCAGAGTCGCTCTGAGCTTGGATTTCCACACTGACCAGCTGGGGACAAGGTTCTGACGGTTATAGAAATATTGGCACGGAAAGCACATGCTAACTCAGAGGTAGCAGAGAAACAGCCTTGCGTGACCATCACTGTCATAGGCAATAACAATTAGCAAAGAAGAAGCGATCCACCGCCTGGGAAGCAGGCCACCCATGCTCAGCCTCATCCTGGGCCTGGGGGGTTTTCACTGGGGTATTTGGTAATGTTACACGAACACATCTTGGGTGGGAGCAGATCCAAATGCAGTTTGCTTTTTCCATTTTCCTGAGTCATGGTCAAATTGAAAAACAAAGTAATTCTCTTGTCAGCCTGCATGGCCCGATTCTGGGATTGGAAGGATGCCGGGGACCAGACCGTACGTCGATGAAGGGAGGCTGCTCACCGAGCCACAGCACACAGCCCCGGACACGTGGCATCTGTCTTCTGTGTTGGCCTGAACTTCAGTTTAGAAAGTTAGAACTTTTCCATCAAGATGGAGAGAGGAAGGAGAGGGAGAGTTCCCTTTAGAGGAAAGGCTACCTTTGAAGCAGAGGAGCGCGAGGGCCTCTGGGGCTCTGCCGTCCTTTCCTGGGAAGCACAGTGTGGAAACCTTGCCGTTCCTCACGCCTGTCCCTCTACCCGCTCCTGCCCTTGGCTACGATGCTCCTTTCTTTCCTTGGATCCACCTCCTCTTTCTCCAGCTTTACCTTTTGATTCCCTGCCCTCAATTTGCTTCTTGTGCAAGATGATAACACTGGGAAAATAATTCAGAACATTCAAGTCCTTTTCCTTGGCTGCTAGTATAAACTATTTTCGACGTGGCACTGCAGATCAGGGACCAGGACTAGAGTGACAGCGGTCGTCTCTTCTCTCATCCCAGACCTCCACTTCCACACCGCTTCCTGTTGACCAAGGCCACGGATGCACACCCCTGGACATTCGTTCAAAGCTGATGGGAGAGGCGCACGTTAAAGGAAACAGCTCCATCGCACCCCAAACCACGGGACTGAATTCATGTTCACTGTCTGTCCAGACAAACAGCACTATGTACGTGCAGGAAGGGGCTCGACACATGTGCTGACTGATGTGAGTGCAGGGCAGTGTCAGCAAATTGCTTTCTCCGTTTCTTCCACAGAAATGAAAGATACAGACAAATTATGGAGCAAAACATGGTATCAGGCTTTATTTGGTACCAGGGCGAAGCACCAAGGAGCAACGGCGGAGTGAGATCCAGTCCAGAGGAGACAACCCAGCCCTGGGCAGCACGCGGCCAGAGAGAGTGAGCGGAAGCCCCCGCTACAGAGACATGCGAAGGAAGAAGTAAAGGTTACTCGCATGGGGGCTCACGACTCATGGAAACAGCATGCCTGCACGTACGTGGAGCTGAAGTCGGCCCAGTTGTTGGGGGTCGTGGAGGAGTCAGAGGAGGTCACAGCCAAAGGAGCGGGGGTCTCGCGCAAAGCCAGCTTGGGCGCGGTGGTGGGGGTGGCGTCCGCCACAGGCTTGACTGGCGCGGGAACCTCGCTTTCCGGGATTTTCTCAGCATAGTTTGCAGGGAACCAGCCTGTCTTTCCTTTTAACTCGCCGCCCAGCCATCCCGGTTCTCCAGTCTGGCTTTCGTCCACCTGCAGGAGATGTGGGGTTTAGTGGGAGAGGCACTAAACCAGCCCCGATGCCCAACACCCGCGCCGCACAGCCCCGCCCCACCCCGTGCCAGCCTGCCCAGCCCCGTGCCAGCCTGCTGCCCTGCAGAGATGCTTCTCCTGCGCACTCAGGGTCTAGGTGTCTGGGGGAGGGATCTCCAATGTCAACTCTGAAACAACAGGAGGTGCTGTAGTTCAAGGTCTTGCTCTTTCTGCTCTCTTGGGTTTTTTCTTCGTTTCCTAACAATAGCACTTTAAAAAGGTACCTGAAGCCCATGGTTTCAAGGGTTAGAGCTACTCAAATAGAAGGTGAACACAGACTGTCACTTACGAAGTCATCATATTATTACAAATAATTTGTTTTGGGCTTGTTAAAACAAAGGGTATAATCAACACAAATTTAGTCCTCTCAAAATCTCTTTTAACTAAGCTGTATTTATTCAGTGTCAGGACCAGAAAAGATTTTAAAAAACAAAACACTCAGACAGTATCTACAGCAAAGCAGGAAGCAAAGCTGACCACTGTGTTAGATGATCAAAAGCTCCAAGCATGACGAGAAAACTGAGGGAGCTTACAACAATTCCTGAAAGTCCTATGGTGTTTTGTGTATGTACTGAACTTTAATTTCACAAAGCACATAAGAATACGGAATTCTTTTGTTTAAAAATGTCAGAGGCTGTCTCTTACACTAAGGGCTCCTAATGTTTCTATTTTATTTGGATGCAAAAGGACCATTCCAAATCACCAAAATGAGTCTACTTATCTTGGCAAGTTAGTCCCACTATTTCATGGGCAACAAAAGAATGATTTTGGAGCACAATTACTTTTACTATTGTAAAATCCCTTTCATTACTGTAAGTCAAATAAGGGTTTATCAGAGACCTTATTGTTACTTCCCAATATGCTGGAAAATGCCACTTTCCTAATCAATTCAGATTCAGTTAAAAAATAAGAAAAAAAAAACTAACAAAGCAAACATCTGTATTCACAGAGTAAGTACTACAGTGTAAGGTTTATTTTAGCTTGTGGGAATCAAAACCACTTGGCGTGGGGGTGGCGGAAGCAGAAGACATGGCTTACTGTTGAGTACAGCAAGCAGGGGACAACCCCTTGCTGCCCTGCCACAGGAATCCCTTGTTGTCGCGGGGAAAGGCAGTTTTGAAAGCCGAGAATTCTCCAAAGAGGAGTTCCCCAAGACAAGCGCAACTCTGCTCCTGGGTTCTATTTCTGGCTTTGCAGCTCTGTTATTCCCGCTCGCACTCCTCTCAGATGCGAACACATTAGCCACTTTTCATTCCACTCCCCCACACTGTTTTGTTCGTACTTCTCTTTTTCTGGGCAGCCCCAACTGTTCCCTAATGAGCATTTCAAATAGCATTTCCCCCTGGGTCTCCTTTTACGCTAACCCTAAGTGGCAGGATGCCTGCCTTCCTTGATATTGCTGGTGATCTGGGGATCAGTGTAGCGGCTGCTTTGCACTGAAGCATGGCCACTTGCAGGCCAGCATCAGTGAGGGCCACTAATACTAACCCCCCCACTCCTGGGAAATTCTACCCACGCTTGGGGCCTTCAGCTCAGGTGTTGTCAGCAGGTGTGAGCTAGGAGCTGGCACCACACACCCAGAATCTCAGCCCCGAGGCTGCAAACATCAGCAGGAGGCTCTGCTGTCAAAATGCCTCCACTGAAGCACTAGTTCTGTATTTATTCGCCAGTTGACTGAGGGCAGCTGAACCTCCTGGTGCGCTCAGCTGCTTCATCTGTAAAATGGGGATAATGCGTCGCTTAACGGCAGGGCTCAGTGTGGGAAGGCGGTCTCGTAGTGTGTGAGCATCAGAGCGGTGGGCACAGCATGGGTACCTGGCCGGTCGCTGGCCTAACTGCATTATGCAGCATGAGTCACAGCCTGGCCAGCGGCTGTTGTGAAGACACTGGTCACTGCCCAGCAGAGAGAAGTCTTGTGACAGATTCACTACGCCACCTCTCTCGTACCAGCTATCAGTTCTGTGCTGTCGTTCTCTATCTAAGCTTCTGTCCTGTTCTAGAATCCTGGTCTCTGCTCTCAGTTTAGGCAACAGCCTTTGGTTCTCTGTGTCCAGGGGCTGCCAGCTCTAGAAAACGGTCTGGAGCCTTAGGTCTGCTGGCTTCGCCTTCTCACTAGTACAAATCTCTTAGGAGCTGGAGTTCGCTCCTAAGCAGGACCTCCCGGTCTAAGTTGCACCTTCTCAAATGTCAACTGCCTTTCTTAATGATGTCCTATGATCTGCCATTCTCCTGAAACACAGGGTCTTAGCTGGTTACCAAGACTTTTGGTTGACATCTGAATTGGGTATGAAGCCCTAAGGAAATGTTCCAACCTGTGGGCAGGTCCGGCTGGCACTACGGTAGCTGATTACGCCCCAGCACAGGATGCAGGCTGCCCCTCTGCCGGGTGCTTGTTCGTATACTAGGAAGGGAGAGGGCACCACCGCAGCCTCTTATCAAAGAGTTCCTCCCACACCGCCCAGTGACAGTGAAGTCAGCATTTCACTTTTAACCAAGGAAATTCACTGGTCAACAATGATCAGACTACAGTCTCAGAGAGTTTGCTTTAGTCTTCCAAAAATCCATTGTTTTTAGTAACTGATTAAATTGTAATTTTAAAGTTCAGAGGCTACAATACAGATTCCCTAATGGACCATTTAGTAAAAACATAAGGTTCTCAAATGAAAAGGAGAAAGAAACTTCTTCCTAGGTTTCAGAAACGGTACCCAAAATACCAACCTGACTATGGGAATATATTACACCAGATTCGGACAGAACCAGGAGAGTGACACCCCCCCCAGTATGGCTGACCAACACATGGACTTTCACTAAGGTCAGCACATTCACCTCTGGACGCTCTAAGCCACGACAGGTGTGAGTGTTGAAATTATCAGCCACACTGGTCTTGACACGATTCTGCGTCACTGACCCACAGCACCACCTCACCCACTGCACCATTCGGGAGCGTCCTCAGACAGGGAGCACAGTGCCCCACCGCTGACTTGGGGCGCAGGTCCCCATCTAGTCTAGGAAGCTCAGCAATCGCGCTGCTGTGGCTGAGTGACGCAGATGCACATGGCAGCTGTCGGGTTCAAGCGTCCGTGGCTGATTGTCCACAAGCCTCCAGCTCCCACCCACAGGAGACCACACTCGTACTTCTAAAACATCTGGCCTGTCACAAAGAAGGAGCAGAAACAGCCCCTCCCCTCAAGTCAAAGAACCCAGACAACAACCAGGTGTAAACTGTCCCCACCCTCCGAGCGCGCTGCTGAGGGCTGTGCTGGGGACCGCGCTTCATGGAGTTGGAACGAGGGGGTCCCCCTAAAACTCCTAAGTAGGATAGTGGAAGTTTTCTACAGTTTGAAGCTGGAGGTTGGCAAACTGCCCCTTTGCCAGCGCAACGACCCAGCTCCTGCGCCGAGGTGTCCGCTGCATAAGCCGGCCCTGGTGCCAGCTGCAGGCCCCGCCTGCCTCGCCTCGCGACAGACAGCGCTGCAACACCGTTCCGCGCACTTGCGCAGATCTGTACACATATGTTTGCGCCTGTGTCTCTGGCCTCCACAGTCTAGGGGTGGGAACAGAAAGGATTTCTGGGTCACAAAGAGCAAGAATTCTAAATTTGAGGAGGATGGTGCCAATTTGTAATGTCAGAAACCAGTGGTTCTGTGAAGTATGAATGCTTCCCAGGGGTTTAGCTAATTCGTACCACTCGCAGGCCAAATATATCCACATTCTTGACAAAGCTGGATGTTATCAAACTTGAAAACATGCTCAGGAGAAGGGAAGTGCTATTTCATTTTTTACTTTGTATTCTCCTGATCATCAATGAAATGAAGTCTTCTCCTGTATTTTTAAAAATCATTTACTTCACTTGCAAATGTTTCTTCACATGGTTGGCCAAGTTTCCTAAGACTTTTTGAATTGTTTCATAGTTACCTTTCATGGTCTTTATGCAGAATGCAGAGTAACTCTCTGGCTCATGCATTTTGCAACACAGAAATTTTAATTTTTATGGTCTCGTCAAATCTGTCCATTTTGTCATGTACACTTCTGATTTTAACAGAAGGGCATTTCTTAGAAAATTATTCCAAAACTCTCCTTTAACATCTGTAAAATTTTCTCCTTCAAATTTAACCTCCTTGGAACTGACTTTAGTGACGCCTGAGGCAGAGAGCGGGTGCTGGACTGCCCCAGAGCAGCCGCCCGGCACTGGTGTGGTCCTTTTCAAGCACAGCCTACTGTGCACGCCCAGCCACAGACTGTGCCTGCCGTGACAACACCCAAAGATATGTGTACGCACACAGAACGAACAGGATTTAAGAAAACAACACACGTACTGAAACGCAGATTCCTGACAGTCGCTCGGCACTTACCCATTCCCCTTTAACCTCCACCAGGAAAGCAAAGGTTTGAAAAGCAAGGCAAAATATATGTTTAATGAAATGTGTCATTCTTACAGTAGATCGCGCCCTTATGCATCTCTGCCAGCAAGTCTAGTGACTAGCTCTTCCATGGGAGGAAAAGGCCTCGCTACCACTGTAGAGAGACCAGTTTCCAAAATACCGCAACCTTGTATCATTTAAAGATGAGCATCTGAAACATTTACTCAGTGTAACATCTGGCAACATTTCCTTATCTTAACTTGCCCCAATTTGTGTGGAAACAAAATTCAGTTTCAAAAACACTAGGATTTTTTTACAGTGTAACAAAGGGCTTTGTAAAGAGCACCTATGTGAAGTCACACCTAGTTCCACTCGCTGGAGAGCTGGTGGGACACTGAGCCACTAGAAGCAGGAGGGGTGTGGAAGCCGCCGCCCTGCCTCGCCCACCTGAACAGAAACCAACAGTTCTATCTGTGAGGAATGAGCTGGCCGGCACACCCAGCACGTCTCAGGCATTCAGCATCAGGACGTCTGGCCTGTGGCTCTCATTTTAGACCATGATAACCGAAGCGAAAAACTAACAGAAAACAAGGGAGAGGGGACTGAGTCTATTTTGGCCCATTAAATATATTCTACACAGAGCAAGATGAATGTATGAGTAAGGGCCAGCAAAATACCAGAGAATGAGACATGACTGTCTTTAATTCTTATCTCCCACCATTCTTTTAAGGTTCTGCTCCACTCTTAAAAAACCATGCTAAAAGCGATGGCAAGTTTGACCGCCTCTTAAAACTTTCATTATTCATAAACAACTAGATCTCTTAGAAAATAACTGAGGTCAATCACACTGCTTCATCATTTCTTAAATTAGTTTAAATTAGTTATGGCAGTTTTAGTTATACTTGTAAGATTATGTGTAATTAGTATTATAATTTGTAAAACCACAGCCAAGCAAAATTCTGAGCAGTGTTAGCTGTCATTTATAGAGTAGGAAAACAGAAGAGCTGAATTTAAATAAATTCTTTACTTTTCACACATCCTAAAATTTACACAAATTAAGAGTTTGGAAAAGATGTTTTGACCCAGACATACTAATGGTATCAATGGCAATTGTGGAAATGATGATAAAGTACTTTGCATTCAACCCTATTTCTTAAAGGAGTGTGCACAGAAGAGAAGTAGTCATCTTGGCTCTGAGGTAACAGGACACTTACAGATTTACAAATATGCTTAGGTGTGATAACACATTTTTCCTAACAACTCTGTCTTAAAGTGATATTACAGTCTATTTTTAAATGCCATCTTCACTGAGATGGAAGGAGACTGAACCTATACTTCAAAGACCCAGAGGCTGGATTATCTCATTATCTGACAAGTACAACAGTTAATCAACAGACATCCTACTGTCACCTGAGTCTTTCTTACCATGACTATATCGCCAGGCTGGATGGTGATTTCGTCATGACTCCTGGATTCAAAGGGATACAGCGCCCGGTAATATACCACTTTAACATTCTCCTGTGCAGAAAATGTGATGGGGCCTTTTTCTGTTGACAAAATATTAGAGGAAAGGAACAAAATGTACATGGAACACAACTGTATGCCCACAAGCCAAATACTGAACATCCCCCGTGCTGCTTGCCACCACCTGAAATATTCCCATCCATGCAAGCGACGGCCGAGGGACGCGCAAAAGCGTGAGGAGGCCGCTCTACCGCCACCCCGAGGCCCAGAGGCCCCTGCAGACTCTGTGGGGCAGGGGTGGTCGGGGGTGATCGGAGGCGAGCGCCGTGACCCGGTCTCGGTTCACGCCGAGCAGTGACCCCTTTCTCCACCTCTCCACCCAGGGCTTGGAGTTACAATGCAGCGGTTAGAATGGGAACCCCAAATCTGAATCAGCCAAGAAGACTTACTGGGGGGAAACGAACCTAAAGACAAACCCTAGAATTATTCAGCTTTACATGAAACAGTATTTAAAGAAAAAAAGGTGAGCAGAGGCACTTTGAACTCTGGCTAACAGTAGTTAGTCTCGTCTCTGAGATGTCTCTCCCGAGAGCACTGTGGTGGCGGGTATCTTCTTTGTCGGAAAAGTAGCAGGGGAAGGCACCATCCTCCATGACTGTGGGCTGGGTGATGGGCCGAATTCCCCACTGAGAGACCAAAGGAAAAATCCTTATCTTCTACCCAGAGGAAGCAGATGGATTGTAACTAACTGCCTACGATCAAGTAATGAGCAAGTCACTTTCAGGTCAAACGTAACTATGACAGTGTCCGTTTGTCCTGCTATGGCTGCACACTCCTGTGTGGGCCTGATGCCTGGCCTGCCCGAGCCATTCAACATGGGGGGGGGGGGGAGGGATTTGCACAGATCCACTGTGCAACTACACTTTTACAGAAGGGTTTCTTTTCTTCCTATATACCATAACATGGAAAAAACACAGTGATGATCAAATAAGCAGAATTGACACACTCTGCCGGAGGAGGCAACAGCAGCCGCCGTGCTCAGCTGCCGTGGTCTGCAGAGCGGTGCGGTGTTGCACAGCCACAGAAGAGGTTTCAAAGACACTGTACTTCGCATCTGATATGAGGGGTGCCTTTTTTTAGCTCTTTCAAAGTCTTTCCTTTCTCACTATTTAAAGAGGCAACTTATGATCAAAGGGCAAAGAACAGTCACACTTCTCAAAAGGTAAAAAGCAGTTTGAGGGAGCGCAGAATGGAGACAGTGAATGTGGCTCTGTGCAGGCTCGGGAAGAGGCAGCCACAGCCTGCAGCTGACAGAGGAGACAGTCCCGGAAAAAATCTGCACGGGGTTGGCAGGTGCCTTTGGCAGGAAAGCTTTGGGCCTCTCTGCAGAAGTACGACTGGTGCCGATACGGAACCTTTTGTTAATTCTACACAAGACCTCTGGATACCCGGGCAATGGCAGCCTGAGGCTGGCACTGTGGAGAAGAATTAAGCAGACATCTAATGAGAGAAGGAACAGCTGCACTGCCCCAAAATATGGCATTCTCACCACTGCTCGCGGAGCCGAGCTAGCACCTGATCAGATAAGGGGGCACCTCCAGGGCACCAGGAAGCCAAGTGAACTATTTTCTAGAGTTCTTTTTTGGCCGCTCATACCTGTGGTGGGCCAGGGGGCTTGAACAGCTGGCTTCCCTGGCTCCTGACGTGGGTGAAAAAGCCGACTCAGTTTGTCTTGCACCTCCTGCTTGCCCTGCTCCTCACTGTCCTTCTTCTTGACACTCTCCTCCCTCTTGAGCTTCTCCTCATCATGGAGCTTCCTGGGTCGCTGGTGCTCGTCATCCCGCTGCATGTGCTCCAGCCACTGCTTGTCCCTCTCCTGGGCTCGTCTGTCAACAAAATGCTCATCTCAGCAGAGAAGCAACGCCCCGCAACATGACTACTGTGTCTTTCCTCACAAAGTCTCTGTCAAGTCGGGGTGCTGGACCTCGGGGATGGAGTGATCAGCACCAAGGAGGCAAAGGCTCTCAGGGACACCCCCGCCGAATTAAATGACTTTTTGATGTATCTTATAAAATAGTTACAGAGGAACAAAAACACCTCTCACTTTGAAATTGGTAGGTCAGTGCACAGCAAGTCAGGAGGTTGGGAGGTAGTGACCACACAGAGTGGCCTGCCCGACACTGAGAGTGAAATGTGGCTTCAGCCAACCAGCAACCACGGAGATCACTGAGGGAACACCACACCTTTGCACACACCAGCGCCCCAAACAGCACAGTACGTACGCTTCCTGAGCTCCTGGGGTGTCACCTCTGGTCAAAGTCTGACTGAATTCAACCCTTTTGTCTTTGCTTTTCAAAGCAGCTGACAGTTACCTGCACTGACAGAACGGTGACAGCGTCCACCTGGAGCCCCGAGGGAAAGACTAGGGAGGGTTTTTCTCTTATTTCATAACGTTTTAGAAAGTCAGAAACACTCTAACTGATGATACTTTAGATGAAACGAGTGTAGAGCATAAACGCTCCAGTGAGGACAGCCTTCGTGAGACTGACCACCTGAGCCCCCATGCCAGGTGGGTTAGTCCCACCATCACCCTCACAAGGCCACACGTGGGTGCTGCCCAGGGTGGCTGCCCAGGCAGGCAGCCTGACTGTGACCGGGCTGGGGCCAGTGCACAGGACATCTGGTATGAGGACCCTGGCAAGGGAGCATCACAAATACAACTCCTCTGCTCCAACTCAAAACTACTCAGTGACTTTCTGCTCTGTGTGAGTGTGTAGTTCTGCTCTTTTTAACATACATCTTAAACGTTTACTACAGGTTTCAAAACACCTTTTAAGAAAGAAAATAAAACACATTTGGATGGGGAGAGCTGCTTACTGCTTTGTGTAACAACACAGCCACAACAAACTTGCCCAACATTTCCTGCTGCTAAAGGCCACCACTTATTGTCAATAGTCATGTCATTTTTGAAGCTAAATTTCAGGTACTAACTATGCTATACTGTTTTTGTTTCTCTTCTCTGGGAACGTGAAAGTTTGGTGCAGTAAAGTGGGAATACTCAAAGCACTCAGAAAACTTGAAGCTAAGATAGGGGAGCTAGTGATTAAACACTCCAATGCGATTCTAGTCCTACCCCAATCAAATGAGAAAACAGCCCTCTCAACTGGCCTGAGATCTTAACTACCCACCTCCTGGCATGAAAAAGCAACCCACAGCAACAAAACCTACCAGCCTTGAAGACCATTCGGGCCCCACCAGAAACCGCCTGGCTCGGCAGCTGATCAGCTCAGCCTACTGCCAGACTCCCTCAGGCATTTCCTTCTTCATCTTTTCATCTAATTTCAGTAACCAGATTCTGTAAGTTATACTGTATCCTTGTTGACTCAATCATTGTTGGTTTGTGGCATTAAAACTAAATGAAGTCTGGGCCCTTCCTGGTGGCGCAGTGGGTTAAAGCACAGCACTAAGAAGCTAAAGCCACTTCAGCATGAGTTCAATCCCCACGCCCCCAGGTGACCCACATGCACAGCAGACCTCTCCTGACCGGCCCACTGTTCCCCTCAGCAGTGTACTTCCTCTGTCAGCCTGTTCTGCTCCCCACTCTATCTCTGGTGAATCCTCTCACTGCCCCTGCACCTCTGGCCTGTACCCAAGTTCTGTATGCATAAATAAATAAATCTTAAAAAAAACTAAACTAAATGAAGTTCTAAAAGCAAATGTCCAATAATGAAATCAGGTACATCAAAAGTTACAAAATACTTTTCTACAATTTGCTCCAGAGAATAAAATAAACACTTAAAACCCTGCAAATGCAAACACCAGAGCTCAGACAAGAATGTGCCTGTCTCCCCATTCTTCCTTTTGTAGTCCAGTGTGATTTGCAGGTGACAAGGTGGGGAGGGGGCACTGTCAGTCCCCCCAGAAGCCCAGTGTGGGGAGCCAGCTGGGGCTCGGATGCAAACCTGGCCACTGGCCTCACCGCTATTAAAAGGCTGTGAGCTGGAAGCCTGCTGGTCATTGGCATGCAAATGAGTGTAACAAGTGCCCCAATTTCCTTGTGTGAGTCCATTTATCTACATAGTGGCTGTGGGGAGGAGCTCTGGGAACTAACCAAAAGCCTCAGGGGGGGGCTGATCTATGCAAAGATTTATTCCCAGCAGGAGTCTGTGCCCACCCACCCTGTATGCACACGCACACAGGCATGCACGCAGCACACACACACACTTACAGGCTCTTTCTGGTACTTGGAGAAGCTGGGCAAAAAAATGGGAAAAACTACAGTTTCCTTCCAGAGGGCCCAGCAGGGCACTGACAAGACTCACCTTTGGGCTTCTTCTTTCTGTTTTTCCAATTCTAGCATCTTCCGCTCTTGTTCTTTCCTTTTCAGTCGTTCAGCCTCTATGGACTTCTGTTTCTGGAGCTGCTGTTTATTATGGATTTCTCTTAGTTCCTGTAAATAATCAAGAAAACAGCTCCTGTCAGAGCAAGAGGTGATAGGCTCTTGTTTATCAACATGTAACACTTCCTCCTGGGAAGCCTAAGTGCTGAGCCAACATTTTGAGAAATGTTAATATGTATGGAAAAGTCTGCAGCTCTGCATTCTGACATGACCATAGCCACACAAGAGTGTGTTTTAGTACCCATGAAGCATGCCACCATTTTCTATGATGTGCTTTTGAAGGAATTTCTAGCAAAGGGCATTTGAGCAGCCACCCTCTTGAGACACCAACAAGAAATTTATCCAGTTTTAACACAGGGCAACAATAATGCACAAAACCTGAGGGTCCCTGCTAATGTGTGGCCACTGGCCACCCGGCCTTCGGAAACACCCAGCTCTTCACAAACCACCTCCACCAAGACCGCTTCCTTCCCAGGGTGAGAGGCCTAGGGGCACCAAGCCGCCCTGCCCTAGGGACCAAACCCCACAGGAAGAAGCATCTGAGGCTCTAAGCAAAACTCTCACGCTGAGAGTAAATAACCACGATTGGGAGATTCCTTGGATTCCCTTATTCCATACTAGTCCCAGGACAACTAAAAGTCACTTTTTAGCAGGCTACTGGTATTTAAAGAGTTCAAGTGAGATGTTCAAATTCCCAAAAGTATAAGAACAAAAAAAGAGGAGGAAACCTTCTCAATTCCAGAGGGATCAAACGGATCTCTGAGAGGTCACTACCAGATTTGCTGAAACTCCTCTTTCTTGTACCAGCAACAATCTGATAAATCGCAGTGGCCAGCGCCAGGGTCTATGGTATATGGCAAGGTTTAAGAACCAGGCCTGCCTCATCTTTTGCCTTGATCTCTGGTAAGTTCAGAAGAATGGAGTTTCCTCCTGCCTTAGATTCCTACCTTTAGATTAATTCTGAGATGGAACAACAAAGGGAAAGTTATTATCACCTGCATGAGATCAATGTTAAGATGAACTTAATCTGAGAGAAAACCCCAGAGAGTCAGGCTAAACTTTCCCCACTTGCTAGAGTGCTATGGTAAGGTCAGAATGCATATACAGGAATTTTATGTATTATAAGTTACTTTGAGGCCTACAAGAGATCAATGAGATAGAAGAAAAAATTTAACTGGAGATCAGGAGGTTGAGGGAGGTCAGTGGTTTCAGGGACGTGGGGTAAGACTGGATGGAAGGAAGGACCTTGGTGGGGGAAGTCCTCCAAGGATAAAGTATCCAGGGCAGAGGCTGCAGGAAGAGTACCTGGGGCAGGAGTTGAGCCTGGAAGTAAGGGCAAAATGTCTGTGATAAGTCCTAAGAGGAGCCAGGGCCTCCTTGGTGGCACAAGGGCTTAAAGCACAGCACCGTGAAGCCATCTGCAGCCACTGCAACAGGAGTTTGATCCCCGGCCAGGGAGTGACCCACAGGGAGCAGCAGATCTCTCCTGTCTCTTCCGCTGCTCCCCTCAGCAGTGTATTTCAGTAGATCCTCCTGTTCTGCTCCATTGTCTCTGGTGAATCTTCTCATCCCCACACCTCTAGCCTACACCCCAGTTCTTGCATGAATAAATAAATATTTTTTTAAAAAAGTTCTAAGAGAAGCAAATCAACACCAGGAAAAAAGAACTTCCTTTTTTTATTGTCTTTCTCCAGGTCATAGCAAAGAATTTAAATCTCAAATGTATTAAAAATTTAGCAGTATTCTTTTCCATAGTTATTTGGAATCAAGCATAAACAGTATTCACTAATCAAGTAAGTGGAAAATCTGGTTATTATTTTAGGTTTGATCTTCAGAAAGAAATGGGGAAAAACAAGTCAAGTCCTGTTGTTCCAAGGAGTCTGTTCTCTTGGCTCAATCTAGGACCCGCATGGGAATAGGACAGTGCACTGCAGTGAGAGTCAGCAGACTCTGTTCCAGGAGAGCGGCCAGAGTGGGACCTCATTTGTTCACTGCCGAGGACGTTTAAAAGGAAAAAAGTGGAAAAGACTCAAATGTATCTTTCCCCCCTACTTTAAAACTTCATCTTTGAATGTATAGAACAGGTTCAGAAAGGGTAACCTGCGGCAACCAAGTATAATTAGAAGTTACTAAACTAGCAACAAAGAAACCTAGGTTCTAATTCCAAGTCCCAGACACAGGCCAGCAGCTGATTCAGAGGAGAAGACTTTCAGGGTTTCTTTTAGCATTAAGAACTTTTAAATTCGTAGACACTATTTATCATCTAAATAGTGTTCTTTCAGCGTCTCTTTTACTTAGGGTTTTATTCTTATCACAGAAATAAACCAAAAAGGTATACCTAGAAAGCAAAATAACTGAGCTGAAATTTAAAAGGAGTAAGAAATAAGAGAGGAGGAGACTATTTTAATTTGATATTCAGGAACATTATCATTTATTTTAAAAGTTCCCCCTTTGTAATATCAAGGGAGGTATTCATCTATTTAAAGGAATTACCAACCAGTACTGCCCACGCAGGCACTGGCCAATCAGGACAGGCGCTGGCCGTGACGTACAGCGGCCGCGCAAACCTGGGTGCAAAGAGTTTTTCATTTTACCAAAGAAATACACTCGCTGCGTCTTTCCCTTCTGCAACCAGGCTCTAATGCTGGTTGTTGATTGACAGCTAAAAAATTAATTACCAGAAACTAAGCGAGGGCAGAGGGAAGTAAAGCCAACAACACTGTGAAAAGCAAAAAAGGATGGAATTAAAGAATCTACAAGAAAAACTCCGGCTAATTACAATTTTAAAAATAATGGTTAAAAGTACCTAATATACGAAATAAGATATTTAAAATGCTTAAAGCACTTAATTTTTGAACACTGCTGTATCAGGCCAGGCTAATTCTGCCTCTCTGGGGAACTATCTAAGTAAGCCGCAGCTTCAAGTACCTGTGAGGCAGGGGGCTTGCAGGAACCATGAAATAAAACATCTCCACAGGTAATAGAGGGCTCTGCATCTCAGGGTCCAGATCTGGGGACTGCAAAGCCTTCCCATTATTTCCTTCATCTAAGTCAAATACTGCTGAGATGCACAATCAATGGTGAGAAAATCATGATACTGCACAGAAATAGGCATTCTGAGTCTCCCTCAGACTCAAAATGGCATGAATCAAAATAAGCAGAAAATTAATTTTTTCTAAGCTAATACACTTAAAAAACAAAACAAAACTGAATTGTGAGAAGGCAGTCTACAGACTGCAGCAAACACCCCCACACCAGGCCGTCTCGCCTTCAGTCTCTATGCAGGCTGTGGAGACCTGTGCCCTGCCCCTGTAATTTTTAACAGTCGAAGAAACTCTAGTACAATTACAATTCAAGTGGCCTTTTCATTCCACCAGGCCAAGCATCTGTTGGATGACAAATCTGGTGTCATTATGTTCTTTAAGTTAGAAATGAAAGGGCCGCTGGGAAAAGGAGCAGGAAAACAGCACTTCACAGATGGCTTCACCTTTCCCTGGTAATCAGTCTGAGTCTGCAGGTTCTATTACATTTTGCCACAGTTGCTGTATCACAGCTAAGACACTAATGGAAGGAAGAGGCCACTACTACGAGTCAAACATCAGGTTCTCCTTCTGGAGGAAGACCTAACACTAACTCTTCCCCTAGCATCAGTAACAATATTCACATACGCATTGCCTGGGTACCTGCCTGGCGTATGGCATGGGCACAGCTTTTGCTGCCTTTTCTTCTGTGAATGCTATTCAGGGACTGACATTTTACTCTACGTGGAGTGCCACAATAACTACCATTTCCTGCAGAATGTAACAACTTACATAATAAACAGTAAGCAAGCCTGCAAGAAGGCTTAGTCAAATATTAAAGATTATAGGAAAAATAAAACTACTATAAAATGTGTAGTATATATAAAGATTTTGATCACCAGTGATATTTACAGAATTCAAAGACATAGCAGAGTTCCCAAACCAGGTACATGGGAATAAACCGTGGCACCATACAGCAGGAAATTACATGCAGGCTGGGCTGTCACTGAGAGCTGTTATTTGATTTTCAAAAGGGTTTTTGAGCAAACAGATCTAGAACCACAATAAGAAAATGATTGTTAATTAAGGATTGTCTTATATTAGTTAAGATACATGAAAATCAACTTGCTTTTAACTTTCTTCCTTTACTAAGAGGAAAAGTCACTTACTTCCCCCTAAAGAATTAAGATATTTGCACCATAAAACATCTTTGGACACCTATGGCAAACAGCCAAAGTATCTCAAAAGGAATATGCTTGACAAACTCAAGAAGATCCAGTAGTTCTGCCTTGAGAAAACACCCCCAAGTTTACCAAAGGCAGCTCTTCTTCTGCTGTGCAAGGGACAGAGAGTCACTGGGTCTAAAAAACTGTTTTGCCTTTATTTGGCCTTAGAGACACTAAAAAATAGTTGTATTGCATGAACTGACATTACTTGCAATACACATGCACCCCCTGAACAATCTGTATGTAGTGCTTTTTCATAAATACTACCCTGCATAGAAGCTTGTGAAGAGTGTAACACTAACTAGTAACAGGGGCTTAAAACTAGCAGTTAACTAGGAAATTCATTGTTAATTTGGTCGGTTAACCTTTTGGGTTTCTGCCTCAAGCGGTCTCTTGTGCAAGAGAAATATTAATGACTGAAGATTTGTGAATTCAACATTATAAATCAAATTAAAGCTGTTTAGAATACATCTCTTTTATCTGTACTAATTTCATGCTATTGTGTTAACTGACCTCACAGGAAATTGATGTGAGTACTGGCATCAGAAATTTTAGGTGTTCACTTTGTCTAAACCTAACACCTATGGGCAGTCAAAAGTAGAAATGCTTTATATAAATAAACATTACTTTATTGCTCACCCAGGGATATTATGTAGCACACAAAATCAGCATTTTTAAAAGGCCTTTTAGGTCTTAAAATATGGAAACTTATCCCAATTAACAATCTGTGAAGCAGATTGAAAGCTTTTAAAGAAATCAATCAACAAACTCCCTGAGGATAGAGCACCTTGCTCCTGCATAGAAA